AATCAAATTACACGGATTCTAAAGCTATAAGGCTTCGCTTATAACAAACAATTTGATAGCTAAATAACGTTTTCGGATAAAACAGCGGCGATAAAGAAAAAATTTAAGCCATTAGTTACGCACATCGGTGGTATCGTTGCGCACCATTAGGTAAAAATCTTTTAATCCCGCACTTGCTTTCGGCCACGACGTGAGATTATAGATTTTATCCGCTTAATCGACTCATTAGAAACGGTAATTTGTTTGGTATATTGAAGTGTATGGTAGCTTAAATGTATGGATGTTAATAAATTCAAGGATTTTCAAGAGAAAATATCCAAAAAAAGACGGTTACTTTTAATGAAATCCTGTACATAGTGCCTCTATATTTGGAGGAAAAATTCCAAATGTTATTAGATAATGATAGAAGGTTATATAAATTCTTTATAACATTTATAATTGATGCGAATAAAATCAGAATTCAACTTATGGATCAAAATTAAAGTGAATCTTCTACGAATATATAAAAAATACCTAAAAAATCTTTCTCCTCTCAATAAAACTTTAACCATTCTATTTTTTGATTTTTTCAAATCCACCCAATAATATTTTTCATATTTTTCATATATTTATTAATTCATCATGACCCATCCTAGAACAAACAAATGGCAACAATACTAATAAAATACTTCAATCGAGAAAAGAACAAGAGCAAGAAAAATATCCATTTTAATTCCATCATCAGCACAGCGAAAGGGCATTTCGAATTCACCGGCAATTCGTTCGGGCTTATCGCCTTCGAAGTTGATTTTAAGTGCCGATTCGTCATCGCTATCTTCATTAAATTATTGTTTATTAAAATTAATTCGCGCGAAAGGGATCGACGTTGGCGGGCCGCCGAAACCGCCGGACCTTTTTTCCGAATCGTAAATATAAATCATTTTCGCTCGGATTAAGGCGGGCGCATTCCGGCGGATTTGCCGTGAATTAAATCGATTCGGATGAATTAAATCGCAAGAACTTCTTTTATTTTAAGGGTTTGATACATTGTACCGGGCCGGTCAGCGGCAATGTGGATATGTGATTAACACAAGTGCGAGAAAAACAGTAATATCGCGTAAGAGAAATAGAGATGGCATTTTCAATTGAAATCGACTAATTTGGTAGGTACTAATTTAGAATGGTTTCAGGACAAATTAGAACTGTCTAGAATTATTTAGAACAGAATAATACAGGACTTTTTGAAACAGTTCAGGACGGTCTTAGAAACAATTAGAACCTTCCAAAATCATCTACACCAGATTTAATCGACTAATTCCGAACTGATTCAGAGCAATTTGGAATGATCCAGGATAAAATAGAAATGTCCAGGTACATTTAGATTGCTTTCAGGACTATTTAGAACCTTTAAAACACTAGCTGTTTGTACTTTTTCAACTGAAAAATCAATTATATAGGGAAATATTTTAAAGAATCGAGTAATTTCGTGAAATATTAAGTAATATACTAAATAGTAAGACATTCTTATAAATCGTCAAATTTACATATAAAATTTGTCGCTGAATAACTTGTAGAATAATGTGAAGTGAATAGCTTATTGATATTGAAATTATCAATATGTAAGTGGGCCGATAACCAATGATACAATAGATGTATAATAAATTAGAATAATTAATAAAAAAATGAATTAATAAGGGATCATAACATGTAACATGAAACTAGTTACACTACACTTTCTCCACTACTCTAGGAACTAGAACCGACAATTTTTTAACAATCTTCAAAATAGTAATCAAAATGCACAACTCGATAAAGCATAAAAGTGAGTAATGATACGTTCCTATTTTTTCTTCAATCTAGATTTTTTTCGATTCAGACAATTCTCTTTAATTGGAGTTGCTCTCCAGTGACCTAACTCAACATTTTACCTTTACGGTGCGTGTACTTACTTGCGGCTAATTACAATTACTTAGACGCTTGACATTTTACTCGATACGAGCAAGATTAGAAGCGGATAATTGTAAGAGAATGTGATAAATAGGTAAATTGTAATCAAATACGGCATCTCATACTGAATGGAAATTACAATCGACACGCTTGCATTATAAGATAGACATGCTGCATTAGACGCATAATTATTACTTCTATAGCTGCCCAAAAAAATAATAATTAAATAAATTGCAACATTATGTAAGTAAGCACCTTTAATTCGGCGAGGCCAAGATTCCCGTTTGCTTAAAAAAAACTAACGAGAAAAATTAAATTAACGATGCACCGGTGAGTACATTATTATTATACTGGTTTCGTTTTATTTACTTTGATCGCATGCCCGACTGCTTTGGTAGCGAAAATGCTGTGTAAGCTGTCTCGCAGGACCTTTAATATAGATTGATTGCGAAACGTTATCGATTCAGAGGATCGCTGAATATTCGGCTTTCGAAAAATATAAAGAAAAAAAGGAATATTCTGTTGGGTACTTTAGGTAAGCACTTTCTTATCCTGTCAGTGTTAATTATAACATTAAGAGAGTATTGTGTGTATGGATAAATTGGGGATGTATGAGGACGAATATGAATATTGAGGGTTCAACGTGCAATTTTTAGGGGAGCTAATTATATATTTTTAACTACATTGGGTTCTTTATCAGGAGATAGTCATAATTTATTATAAATGGTTCTAGACAGTTCTAAATGATTATAGAGCATTCTACATCCTTCTGGAGTGTTATGAACAGTTCTGGAGCGTTCTAAATGATTATGGGACGTCTTAAATGGTTCTAGATAATTATTAATGAATCTGGAGCGTTCTCAATGATTCTAGATAAATATAAATGATTCCGGAGGGTTCTAAATGCTTCTAGATAATTCTAAATGGTTCTGGAGCGTTCTTAAGTTCTAGACAATTTTAAATGCTTTTGGCGAAGCGTTCTAAACGATTGTAAACAGATCCAAATGGTTTGATGAATAACTAACAAATAAATTTAATAATTACTGATAGCATATGGGGTTGCCATTCAGATATAAATAAAGCGATTTTTTTTTGTAAGTAATTTTTAATTACATCCATTTATCCTTTTATATTCTAGGTATTTGATATCCCAGAAGCACCACTATGTATTGCCTTCAGGTCCCTTTATCTTTGAAGCCTTAAAGTTTTGGAATATTATGATTTTTTAGAGTCCCTCGTGATGTCTTTTGCATATAGAAGTAGGTTTTACTATCTTCTAATAGCGAACGGAGTATAGTAAATTCATAAATCTCTATACCACTCTCTCAATGTCGGATGAAGATATTTGGCAAACAAGCTGTGGAATCTGAAGAGTGTGCTTATTAATTATTATGTCAGCTTATTTACGTTACGTTTTTTTCCTAAGATGATTACATGGTAAATACATGGAATTTCGTCGGTTTTTTTTATTAAAATTTTAAATTCGAAAAATAGCCAAGTAGATCAAGGCCGATTAAGAATCTCGTTCGAATCGCCGGCGATTTCGTAAATGTATCACAATTTTCATTCGTCGCCGTAGGTTTCGGATAATTACTGTTTACGATTTATTATCACTATCACCTTTACCCAAAGCAGCTGCTCACCTTTAGTTCGATTACTAATTACAAAATAGTCGGGAATGCGTTTGATTTTTCCGTGCAGATAGGTAAATCGTTTCTTGTTATTAAATCAATAAAGAATTTATATTGCTGTTATACCTACAGCTATATGAAATAAATTAGATATTAATCCAATGCCTGTGCACACTTTATTGAATCATTATGTCGTCTTGCATTAGCCACGGATAATTTCAAGTAATTGTAATATTTGAAATGCGTCTAGCAGAAGATATAAGTACTCTTTTTTCATTTCGTGATTTTTCATTTTTTTTGTATCGTAAAGCTAATAAATTTCAAGGATTCGGGCTCTCCTAGATTTTACATTAACCGAAGACGTGCTAATCACATCTCTATTAATTTAAAACAAGCAAATTGAGCGTGGTAAAAAATCGAAATAGGCGCGTTGTAAAAAAATCAGTCTTGCATATAAACGAACAGGCGAAGGTGGGTCAAGAACGAAACGTTTTAGAAATAATTAAACTTTAAAATTTAGGGTAATCGTTCGAAAACATCCACATCAACCGTACTATTTTTCACTTTATGCATTAGCTTGTAATTAGTATTCAATTATTTTAATAGGTACAATAAAATTCTCGGTTCCTTCACCCAGCTGAAAGAGGCTGGCGACCAAATTTGAATATCTAAGGAGCAACTTTCTCTAGCTACGTTCAAACCAGAAGATACACGAGCACTCTAGAGTTTTTATTGTGTAGTTTTTGTTTATCTTTACTAGGTACCTACACGTTTGAATAATTAAATTAAATCACCTCTTACGTATGTTAGCATGCGGTTTCATCTTATAGGTGTTGTAAATATAGATCTGGTTAATATAATACCGAAGATATTTACTTTCAAAAACACTTCTAACATTTTCCACTTTACTCTCCCATTTATCATTTCAACATTTTCCGATATATTAACATAAATCAAACCTAACTTATAATATTACAAGAATCTGTCATCTAGAATAAACACCCAATAAATTTTCATATTTCCAACAAAATCTGAGCATTCCGCACTTTCAATTCGATTAGTTTAATCTGCATATACAGTATATCTTCGGAATTAATGGGCTTTTAGTGCGTATTTCATGTAATTATGAATGAAAGCGTTATAGATAACAACCGTAAGTTATTACAAGAACACGTTATATTTATTGAAACGTGCAGAGATGACCGGCGAAATCATGATCTATAAAACAGGTTGAAGATGTGTTGCGCCCACGATAGAGGCCTTGTACATTTCAGTAAATAAGAGTTTATGGCTTATGCGATACATCAAATCCATTGGACTAAGATTAAGTATGATGAAGGCATTTGTAGAACGAAACTAGAAAAATCGAAGTACAGCCTTGCTTTTGCGAGTTCGTGACCGCTCCAAACATCACGCCGTTTTCTATTAATAATTTTGTTGCAGGATCTTCTGGAACATTTATTTAAGTTGTTCGATCAATGCAACAAAAAATGTCTGGTGCAAGAGGAATGGATCGAATTCTTGAAGCAAAGATTAATGTAAGTTTTCTAATTTCAAATGCACTTGGAAGTTTTTGTTGTAGAACTAACACCCTGTATAAATCACAATAATTGGTTTTAGAAATTTTATAAAGCTTATCTCAACGTTCTTTAAATTGCCTTGTTAAACTTCTTTTTGTAGAAACGAAAAACAAATCGATTTCGCAGAACAATTGGAGAGTGTAGCTTACTGCTTGTGTGGGGAGAAGCCAATTTTCCTGGAACAGTTCTGTGCCATTTTTTTAACAAAAGGGGTAAGTGAAAATTTCCTGATTTTTTTAAATCAACTACTATTAAAAGCGATTGATCTATTTAAAATGTGATTATTTTTTAGATATCGGATAAGCTTTTCAGACTAATAAATGAGGAAAATTCTGGTGTTGTATCGTCAGAAACCGTAATGGAGTTTTTAAGTACCATAACAAATACCAGGTTGGTGCAATAAATTCATACCATATTGATTAAATTGTAGGAATTAAATACATTATTTACTATAATTTTAGACCCAGGACTGGCTTCGACCAAGGAAGTGTGAACCGCCTGGAACAGCTATTTAGACAAACCGTTGGCGATGGAAAGGAAATTAAGAAAGAAGATTTCAAAAATATTGTTATGTCCAAAAACGTAAGTAATTTTAAATTAGCTGAATCATCCAGAATTTTCTCAATAATTAAAATTTCCAGCTCTTTTTTACTGACAGAGTTTTCCAAATCTTCGACAAGGATAATTCTGGATCCATTTCTCTGCAAGAATTTTTAGATGCTATGCACCAATTTGCCGGACAGACACCAGAAGATAAAATACGGTTTTTATTCAAAGTGTACGATTTAGATGGTAAGCATCATCATTATCATCATCGTCATCATCGCCAACATTAAAATTATTTTACAGTCATAAAAACCCTTTGTTTTAAGTATACTGCGACAGGCATAACTGTTGATGTGAAAGTTTCTAACATCTCCAGCTATATCCATCGCACTGTACCTACCAAAAAGTAACTAATTTTGAAGTTATAATAGACTATGAGTAAATATTGTTAAACAAGGATTTTTAATAAATAATTAGGAGATGGTCTGATCCAGCACAAAGAGCTCCAGCACGTGATGCGAGCCTGCATGGAGGAAAACGGAATGCAATTCAGCGAAGAACAAATCGCGGATCTAACGATGGCGATGTTCGAGGATGCAGACACGAATAACAGGGGTGCCATTACGTACGAAGCGCTGAAAAATCAGCTAGAAAAACACGGCGGTCTGTTAGAGAATTTATCAATCAGGTACGCTATTATCTGGACCACCCAAATCGTCGCTCACTTATTGCATAAACGCAGGTGAAGGGCTGCTGTAATGAAAAGAAAGCGACCATATGGGTGGTCTAAATGAATGTGCATATACGTACTTTATTTGTCTCTTGAGTATATAAAATAAAAGAGTTTTATCCAATGCTTAATATAATCATTCTTTTTCAGTATTGATCGATGGTTGGTTCCACCTAGCGCCAGTACTAAAAAATCATCGATATTGTCCAAATGTAAAAATTATCGGCCTTATTACTTCTCTCTGCCCTACTTGAAAAATAATTACGTTTATTTGGCGTTTCTCGTTGGGTTCCTTCTAGTCAATGCGGCTCTGTTCATATCGAGAGCTGTAGAGTATAAGAATTCAAACTGGTTCACAATATTCGCTAGAGCTTGCGGTAAGAATATTGCACCGAAGTTAACTTCATTTTATGCAACTGTATTTGCAGGGCAATGTCTCAACTTCAATTGTACCTTCATATTAGTTCTGATGCTAAGGCAATGCATAACGTTTTTGAGGACTAGAGGGTACAGTTCGATTCTGCCACTGGACCAGCACATTTATTTCCATAAATTGACTGGAGTGTTCATTTTTGGATATAGTATTTTACATACTATCACACATATATGCAATTTTAGTAAGTAAAAAAATCTGACCAAAGTATCAATTGATGAAAATAATATTTATTTTAGGTTTGATAGTGGTAAATGATCCAGTTATAAATAACATGAATTATACAGCCAATCAATGGCTGTTTACCAGTACCCCGGGATATTTTGGGCTAATAGGTGGCATAGCCAATCCTACAGGAATTGCCCTATTGGTCATTCTCATAGCCATTTTCATTAGTTCACAGGCCTTTGTAAGACGAGGAGGATGCTTTGAAGTACACTTCTTCAAAAATTTCTTCTATCTCTACATTTAAATTCATTAAATTCGTAGGTGTTTTATTACACTCATCTCATGTACGTCCCATTTTGGATACTCCTCACCCTGCACGGTCCGAATTTCTGGAAATGGTTCATCATCCCGGGCATTGCGTATGGATTAGAAAGGGCGTACAGATCCCTGTTTCTCGTCACCGAAAGGGGGAAAACCTACATCAGTTCCGGCTTGCTTTTGCCATCGAAAGTCACGCATTTGGTCATCAAACGACCCATTCATTTCGACTTCCACCCCGGCGATTATGTCTTCGTTAATATCCCATCTATAGCTACGTATGAGTGGCACCCTTTTACCATTAGCAGCGCTCCTGAACAAGAAGGTATAGTTTTCCACATCTCCATTTTCCATATCTAATCATTTTCTCCAGATTACATGTGGCTGCATATCAGAGGCGTGGGACAATGGACAAACAGATTGTACGAATATTTCGAAAGGGAGCAAGAGAAGCTTCACAACGGGGAAATCCCGCCGTCCACGTCGCCTTGCACCGAGAAAAGATTGTCGATAGGCAACGATCAGAATTGCAATTCGACTCCCTTGCAGAAATTACATGCTACTATCAAAAGAACGATATCAAACGGCGATCAGCCTAAGAAAACTAACGTTCAATTAATTGGATTCACTAATGGAACCTACCAGAATGACGATAACAGCAAAGACAGTAACGGCGATATTGAATTAACACCTAGTACTTCAGGTTGATAATTTTACCCTAATGATAATAAGAATATAACGTTTGAATATTTATTCAGATACACCAAATCCACCTAGAAAGATACCTACAGAAAATCGCTTACAAAGACTCATATTCGCCCACAAAGTCCCTTTGGAAAAGTCGCTATCCATGCCAGACATGCAAAACAAGGCAAAGAAACGGGAAAGAATGATGGTGTACGTTTAAAGCAATCAAATCGAGTATAAAATTTATTCATCTCTTTCATTCGCAGGTTGAGGGAGTATATGCGATCGGAATCCGAGAAAAGCTTCAACGAATGTCAAATAAAAAGAGCCAGGCTCAAATCGCTGGGACTGGCGTATCTGAGTCCTCAGAACAAAAGTTTGGCTCAAAGTTTCAGGTACATGAGAAACAAGCCGACGATTATCGCCTTTAAAACGCCCAGTTTGGAGAATTGCGAGAAGAAGGAATCGAACAGCTCGTTGGGGAGCATAGGAAACATGGGTATAAGGAATTTGGTTATTTTTGAATCTTGGTTAGTGTTTTTTGCGGTTTGCAGTTCGACAAATTAGCCAAAAAAGCTTCACTTTCAGTCCGGAAAGGCTGGCTGAAGAAGGCCAAGTCGTGCCGAAGTTTACAGATACACAATTCACGCCAAATGTGGCTTGCTCGAAGGCGGTGAATTATCCAGTTGGAAAACCATTGGAGGTAAGTTGATGTAAATTTAGAAAAGTGTTTAGTTGGTACACATTATTCTGGTTTTATTGTTAAGCCTAAGTACCAAAAGGAGCTTCGGATTGATGTACTCAATAAAGAAGGAACTGAGGTGAATTAGATGTCAAACTAAACAAAAATGCTTGTCTTTGTGTGTTGTTTATTCTCTTTAACAAGAAACTTTTAGACATTTTAGGCATTTAGGCTTTTAGGCATTAGTTCTGTGCTTATTCCTTTTCTATATAGTTTATATTACTTATGTCTAATATTGTCCCATCTTCTTTTAAAGGATATGAAAGGATAGGGAAGGATAGGACAGGGAAGAGTATACTCACATACTTTCCATTTTCCATCCACATATATTCAAGTTTAGCCTTTTTAACCTTTTCTTTAACAATACCTTAAACACTTCCTCTGATAAATTCGCCCGTCTTTAGAAACTTCCATCCATTTTGAAAATTTTCTAACTATTTTAAAGCCCTTATTTGACTAATAACAACATCAATTTCCATGTATCTAAATATTTTATTAATTTATTTTTGTATCATCTATAGATCTACTTGGACGGTCCTTACGGCGCCCCGTCCAGCCATATTTTTAGAGCCCAACACGCCGTTTTAATAGCAACAGGCATTGGGGTAACACCCTTTGCGTCGATACTACAGTCTATTATGCACAAATACTGGAAAGCCAGGCACACCTGCCCTAAATGCAAGTTCTCCTGGGCGAGTGACATACCTGCTACAGTTATGAACCTCAGAAAGGTACGTACTTAAATGAGTCATTAAATACAGTACTGGATTTGATATATTTTTAGGTTGATTTCTTCTGGATAAACAGAGATCAAAGATCTTTCGAATGGTTCGTTAATTTGCTCTCTCAGTTAGAAATAGAACAGGCGGAACTCGGAGGAGCTATGGAGAGATTTCTAGAGATGCACATGTATATAACTAGTGCTTTGCAAAAGACAGATATGAAAGCCGTCGGGCTGCAATTAGCTTTAGATTTGCTACACGAAAAGGTATAATATCTTCACGTGCGTGACCCGTCAAAATATCCCAATGACAAAATTGATTAGATAGACAAAATAGATTTCCAGATTTTCAAAGACATTTTTTTAATCTCTTCTATTCTATGGTAAACTATACTCAATTTCATTTTATTTAAAGCAATATTACTTGTACAGGGCGGAAACGCCAAATGGAATAAATTCATTATTTCGGTTGCTGTACATATTTATAGAAAATCCCGAAACAGGTCAAATTTTAATGATAATTTTAGATTCCTATGTAATGTCCTGTGTAATGTCAAATTATAATTAAAATTTGACCTGTTTTGGGATTTTCTATAAATATGTACAGTAACCGAAATAATTAATTTATTCCATTTGGCGTTTCCACCCTCTATGTAATTAAGTATGACAATTTAAAAACTTACAATGGCTATATCTCCCAAAAGAAATAAGATATCAAAAAATGCCTATAACCGTTTCTAGGATATGAAGGGGGAACTAAAATGACATAAAAAATAAATAACCTCTATCAACCCTCTAGGCCCCACGTACCCCTAAAAATTTAAATAGAAACCCGCAACTAGTGATACATCATTGAAAAGCTTATAAAATGCTATCCAATGGTATAAATAATAACAATTGTACAGTGTGAAACAATAATTCTGAAACCTTACCATAAAAGTAAAATTTGCCAAAAAGATTTTGTCTTGGGTCTGTTTTGTCTTGTGATATTTTGAAGGTGTAGCGTTTATGTGCGATAGTGATCGATTGAATTGTTTGTTTAAGGAAAAGCGAGATTTGATAACGGGTTTGAAAACTCGAACGAACGCCGGTCGTCCAAATTGGGAAAAAGTTTTCAAGCAAATTCTTGACCAGAAGAAAGGCAAAGTTACCATATTTTACTGCGGTCCCCCGCAATTGGCGAGGATATTGAGAGTCAAATGTGATCAATTCGGTTTTAGTTTTAGGAAAGAAGTGTTTTAATATTTGTTCTGTTTTTGTAAAAGTGTTTTTTCTTGTATTTTAATGTATAATTATTGTAATTTTATTGTGTTGATGAATAAATACATGTTCTCGACAATGTATGTAAGTGTAATACAAACAATATTTAAAATATTTAAAATGTATTTAGTTTAAAAAAACTTAGGTATGTAACAAAAGTTAATTGAAAAATTTCTACTTTATTCAGTTTTCACTTCGACTTCCTCGCTATTTTCTTCAATTTTGCAATCTGCAATTTCGCTTTTTGACAATAAAATATCTTTGCTCTCTAAAACTATTTTATTGGTTTCTTCTGGTTCCACTTTTTCCATCTTCTGGGGTTTTATCTTGGCACTTTTTTTCATACTGGTTAGTAAATTTTCCTCGGATTTTCGCTTTTTATGGTCCTTCACTAGCGCATCATATTTGGTTTTAACAGCATTTAAATCAGTTTTGGACATATCCCAATCCAGGGCGTAATCTAACCGACTTTTGGTGGGATCAATTTCACTGGAATAATCCGGTATTTCCAATCCGAGTTTTTTCATTATTTTCGTCATTACGTCGTCAACGTAAGCGTTGATAATGAGATCAGCTTTTTTATCCTAAAAATTAAGGTACACAATTTTTTTAGTACATTATGCAGGTAGATGCAACATTGTTTGAAATATGTTAAATTTTAGTAGGTCCCACCATGTATGGGAACACTTTTTTTTGGGACAAAATTAATTTTCTATTAACTATTACCAGTGACGCCCACGTCCGAAATTTAATTAATTAACACCCTGTATATAAAAACTGACTAAATCTACTAAATAATTGCTTACATGTTTGGTGGGTTGAAGGTTCACAATTACTAATTTCCCACCATATTTTTTACATCTTAATGGTAAATTTCCACTAGGTACAATTTGCAAGGTAGTACCTAAACAAATATTTAAATCTGCCAAGCTGAAATTGAAACAATATTCATTTATATTTAAATCTTTATCTAGTAATTTTCTTAGTATGTATTAATGCATGCTTTATAAAGTAATAGAATAATTACCTTGATTGATAATCGGATATTTCGAGATCATTTTCAGGTAAATTATCCTCCCAATCCAAAATTGTATCGTGCAATTTACCTCTACAACTCCTCGTTCTCAACATGGAAGATCTTTTGCAGTTTTCTTCCAAGCATTTCTTACCTACTGTAGAGGTTGCTTCAGATCTAATAAACTGACTAGAAAACCATATAAATAAATCATAACTTCATCAAAAGTAAATAAATTACCCTGTGACAAAAGAGTACCCGGAAATTCTCATTTAAATTACCTGCACTCTTAATATTTTTAACTATTTCAAATTTCTGTATGTTGGTAATACTGTTCTTAATTAGAATGCAAAAAATTAGAGAGATTTCTCAATAAATTTCAAAGCTTCAAAAGGAGCATATTTTAAAGGAGATTCAAGAAAAGTTATTAAAGATTAGGAATTTTGTGTTTTATTCCAAATTTTCAGGTATTTTTTTGTCACTGTGTATTATTTACCTGTTGCATGTATTGCACTGCGCCACAAACATGTTTCCATGCAACTCGGCTATGGAATCTCTGGGCACACCGGACCTCAAGTGCAACCCGTCTATATTCTGGCTCACAATGAAATGTATTACTTTCTCATCGATGAGCTTCTTAAGAGCCATGTGGGTTTTAGTCGGTGTGGCTTTGTCGAATGAGATGCTTATGTTTGGTTTTTTCCCGAGTTTTTCCAATGTCCACACACCGTTGGGGCCTCTAATGAATTTTAATAGAATAGAAACATTTTGTAAAAAAAAAGTTGTGGGATTATTTTACCTAAAATCGGGTATTCCTGCAGCAGTGCTGATACCTGCGCCCGTATGGACTACAACATGCTTGGCGTTTTTCAACCATTCTGCCAAAATATCGCATTTTTCGTTAATTTTATCTTCATTGTCGAATTTCTTAACATAAAAAGGAAAAACGTACGTAAATACAAACTTCGATGTAAAGCTAATTAAATTATTTACCTCCGGTAGGCCTAAAACACCCTTGTTTTCATATTGAGACAGCCCATCCGCGTAGTTACAGGACATTTTAAACCAATTCTATTCACCATATACTTTTTCATATGTTTATTTACTTCTTTAGAACCGTTTTATCCTTCAGGATAATTTCGCCTTTTTAATTTTTAGGATAAAAGACATAAATATCACTTACATTAAAAGCTGCTTTGTTTACAAATATAAAAATTAAAAATAAACAAGATGTCGCTGTCAAGTGTCAAGTTTAATTGACAATATTGTCATTGTCATTTAACTTTGACCAAAAATCCACAATAATGAGGCCTCAGATCAACCATACGTTGATCAATTAAATCAATTTATTAGTAGGAGATACTATAATATATTAAAACTAAGATAATTGTGTGATAATTTAAAAATATCTTTATATAAAAGTTGATCCTAAAACTATTTTTATAAATCTCAGGTGACTGCGTATCAGAAAAGTGAAGGTCATTATTGGTGTCAAAAAAATAGAATAAAAACGTAGAACGTCAAACTTCAAATATTTAATAATTTATAACGTTCGTTTTTCAAGTTTATCATTTTCAAGAAATATCGAACCTGTTTAGTTTATTTTATTGCACTCCACGTGGTTTTTGTGTTAATAAAGTTCATAAAAAAATTAAAAGCATAGAGTAATGTTTCAAGAGTAAAAGAAACTTCAGTAAGTACAAGAAACTATTAAACACATTAATATTCAAAAATACTTTAATTCTAGGAAATTTATGAATAATGTCTTCAAATACCAACCCCGTTGTATCATCGAGTAACGAGTACGATTTTTCCTATTGTACTTCATCTGCTTGTATGGATATTTTTTGTTCGAGTAATAACCGAACATGTTCTTCTGAGTCTAGAAAAAACAGCGTTGAGGTGAGTTTACTAACTTTTGTATATTTTCCTATTTATTTATTGTGTCTCTTTAATGTTCAGGTCGATTTGCTCTCTGGCCAAGATAATGACATATTCACATCGGTTGGTACGTATTTCTTATTAGAATCATACTGTTAATATTGATAATTGTTATTTCTACAGGACGTTACAGCACCAACTTTTTGGATGAAACCCCCGAACCAGACTGGCCTCATTTTGATGACTCCGAAAACAGTCTCATCGAAAATAGAAACGCGAAACATCCCGAATCTAACACAGATGTGGTATTTAAAAACATAGAAAAAAGATTTCCTACGAACTGTAATAATCTTCACTTACCGTTGAAATGCAATGGAGACAGTAACATCGACAATGAGACGACTGGTTTGTTTGAAAACCTAGCTAAAATACTGAACCATCCTCGTACTGACAAGGAAACCTTGGAAGCAATGAAATTGCTGAAGGATTTGTATCGAATACTCTGCGATTCATTGAGCAACAAAGAGAAGGATGATTCTGGGAGATTTTCGTGGACGGAGAACGATTTGAGTAAAGGAAGTGTCGAAAAGGTTCATTTCGATGCTGATATCGCTCCTTGTCCAAAAACTGCTAAATGTCCAGAGAAGGAGGAGAAAAAATCTTGTTTGACTACGGAAGTTGATTCCCAAGCTAAAAATGTCAGTATTTAAGTTGACTTTTTTCGAGCATACTAATTCTTCCTATTTTACTTTTAGAACGCTCTAAATAAGAACCAAAATATTGACCTAAAAGTTAAGGTTAAACGAGACATGAAAAAGGGGCCTTTAAAAGCTGTATACCCTGTTGTTTCTATGACAAAAAGTAAGTTATTTACACAGAATTATTTAAAACTAATTGATACTATTAGAACAACTGGAAAAATTAAAGCTGATATTTGATGAACTACCTATATTCTTTTATATTTTTATACTTTGTTACAGATCAGAACTTTGATGATGCATTTAGTAAACGTGTTATTAATATGAGCACACCTAAGCAAGTAAGTTATATTGGCAAAACTATAAAAACCTAATTATGAACAGAATTTGCATATTAATTTATTTTATTGGCGCTTTTTATTATAACTTATGAGATACTAGTGTTACTTATGTCTATTATTCTATTATTTTCATTATTCTAGGCAGTGAGATTAAATCCGAGCCAAACTTCCACACCCCGAATAGTTTCATCGAAGACGAATTCAAATAGAAGCAGGTAAATAAATTATCAATTGATGAAAATATCTCAAAATTTTTGTTTGAGTTATTAGGCCGTATTTAGAAAAAGAAGCATAACCTTTTGCTTTCAAAAAATGAAGGACACCCTAGTGTCTAGAAGAACACCCTTTAGAATGCTCCAGAATCATTTAGAACTGTCTAGATCAATCTAGAACGCTCCTTAATCATTTAGAACTGTTTAGAACCATTTAGAACGCAGTAGAATCATCTGGAACTGTTTAGAACCATTTAGACTCGTTTCGACTAGTTTGACGAAATCGCTAATCTCTGTACTATTTACTTTATTTATCTGAAGCGTTTCCTTGCAAGAAAAAGGCGGAGATTATAAATATGGATCAGAGCGAAACCTTTTCCTTTTACCTTTTGCTTCTACCTTTTACTTCAAAGTAAATGCTTCATTTTTGTGTATATGGAATATTGTGTATGTAATAGACAACTTTTTTTTAGTTTGCAGTCAAAACCGATTGTGAGCAAACCTATTGTGAGCAGACCTATTGTAAGAAGAAACAGTTTTACTGAAGGAAGAACAACGAACATTCAAATTCGGAAACGCTCTAGCTCGTTAGACAAAGCCAGAGAGGTCCAACCAGCCTCTAAGCTCAAGCCCAGTAGTCCTTTAAGGTCGGCTTTGCGAGAAAATTTAAATACATCGGGTAGTAAATTTGGATTTAGAGGTAGCAACAAATCTGTAAGTATCCGTTTTAAATTATTTTTGTTAATGCCAACTGGCAAATTATAATCCTACGTTACTGATAGGAGTATTGTTGTTTATTCAAAAGTTTTGTTAAAAAGAGCCACAAAATCCAAAAAATAAGTCAAAATTGGTACTTTTAATTTGAAATAACGAAGTTGACATCAAATTCCTGATTTGCACTTATCCATATAATACATGCAAGGATGGTGTTACGAAACCAAAAGTGAAACAATTAAAGTATGGGGAATAAATTTAATGTAATGAAGTATGGATGTATGAGTAGGGATTTAAAAAGTTGTTGAATAAAGATTTATGAATTTATTTTTTAGGTGACTTTTGGACCGAACAAAGAAAATTATTTCTAAGTGTGTGTTTTGAAATTTTTTACTTTTATAACTTTTTTTATACTTTTTATAAAAAAAATAATTTATCGATTTTAATTTATTTTAATAATCTCATTATTCTCCTTAAAAACTCCCGTAAAACAAATAAACTCGTAAAAAAACCACCTAACTACATAAATGAAATGATTTAGGTATTTAACCTTTAAAACTTTATTCTTGTACACATCAATATGTATAAATTTTCCTTAAAAATAAATAATAGTACATATTACAAATTAAATTGTTCCTCTAATTATCACAGATTTTATAATATCTACGGATTTGTATCATATACAGAGTGTTCCGAAATGACATGCTAATATTTAAAGAGGTGATTCCTTAACTTTTGAGATACAGGGTAAAGTTTTGAGAAAAAAATCATTTTTTGTAATAACCTTGATACTATTGTAGATATCTTTATGAAATTTGGCACACATCTTCTATGAATCAAGATGCATTTTCTAATGTACAAAAAATTCTATTATTTTCAGCAGTGGCGTCCGCACGGGTTTTGCATTGAGTATTTTTGGAGAAAAAAACGGTATGCCACTGCCTAATATTGAAACAAAAATTATTATCGGACCCCTCATTTAATTTAGAAAAAATTTGATTTCTTGGCTTTTTCCGTAAGACTCATCGTTTTGCATAAAAAATAAATCCATTCATTTAAACGCTGCCGCTACATTACTCGCTGTACTAAAATTAAAAAACATTAAGTTTAGGACATATGTTCATATAAAGTTTTTTTCTTACAATAAGTCCAAGAATCACCCCCTTAAATATGAACATCCTGTACATTTAATATCAAAATTACCTAATAACGTGGAAACCTTGAACAACTTCTATCACACTCATACAGCAAACAACATTATTATACTTGTTTCACTGTACATTAAAATTCGAATAACAAACACATTCAAGAAATCCACATTATGCTTTGTCGAGATTTGCGCTCAAATATGTCCAAACCATAATTTAAAATAAATCACATATGTATACCCGCTTAATGTGTTATTTTCGTATAAAAATAAAACCATAAACATGTTTACCTAAGTACAGTAAGTTTACCTAATTTAAACACAAATTTCGAATTATTAAAATCATACGTACAAAGACTTCATAACAGATACCTTTCATCTTTAATCATTCCTCCATACTTTTATTCTCTTGTGGACTATTCCAAACATTCGCCGGTATTAAGCGAGTTCATTTAACGCCCTTTCTTCACCTTCTTCCTGTCGTTGCGCTACGTTTTTCCCACCGAAATACTCTTCGATTTCCCTGAAACTTTTCCCTTTAGTTTCGGGCAGCAAAAATATCACAAAAACAGTGCCAGCCAGCGCCATGAATCCGTAGAACCCAAACGTTCCAGCCCTACCCAAATACACCAACATATCTGGATAAACCTTCACGGCGACGAAATTGAAGAAATATCCGACTCCAGACGACAAACCAGCTGCCGTTCCTCTGATTTTGCTCGGGAATAACTCCGCCGCGAGAGCGAACGGCAGCGGCAGGAACCCGATGGAGCTGGTGATGAAGTAAAACAGCAGGCAAACGAGCGGTAAGAACGTCAGGGAACCCCCGACGATGGTGCCTGATTGTTTGAGGTGTATGTACAAGGCCAGCGGTAGAAGACAAATCGTCATGCCGGCACCGGAGAAAATTGATAACGGTCTTCTTCCAAACCGCTTGGCCAGAAAACTGGGCAAGATGGCGCTGAACAAACGCACTACGCCTATTACAACTATAGTTGCGAACGGATCGAACGTGATGCCGGCGTTACCGACTATATCTATAGCGTAGAAGATGATGACGAATATTCCGCTGAATTGTTGAAACATGAAGTACGTCAGAATCAATCCCATCGGTCGGAAACAGCGCGGCTGCAACAGATAACGCATTTTGCTGGCGAACTTCTGGACAAAAGTCCTCTTCTGGGTTATGATATATTTCTTGGTTTCCTTATTGCCCAATAGGACTGTCAATTCTTCGAAGATCGAAGGCGACTCGATTTCGACGTCAAATATTCTGCTCAGGCTGATTTTCGCCTGCTCGATTCTGTTCTTGCCCACCAGCCAACTGGGTGATTCCGGGACGAGGAAGCACGTCAGGATTAGTCCTATGCACGGTAGAATTGACGTGATGAAGCAGATGGTACCGAGGTCCTCCTATAAAGGGATTAGTTGATTGAAGGTAATATACCAAAAAGTAAGGAAACAGTCGAATTTCAGACAAATAGAAACCTCTATTTTTTATTGAAGATTCGAAATTATGTTAGGCTCGATTAAAAAAACGTACTTACCTATCCAATATTTTTTGAATAGCTATATCTATTGATATGGGCCAATGATGGGTCGGCACGTAGCAAGAGATAATACAGATGGACACAGAGAATAAATAATAGGAGACCACGAGAGACAAAAAGAGGCGCAGAGAGCTCGCAAAAGAGGTGTATCGATGATGTGAAGGGTATAGCGAAAAAATAATGGTCAAGGACAGAAAATGACGGGTATATGGAAAAATTTGGAAGACGCCTATGTTCAGTAGTGGACGATGGAGGGCTCAAAAAAAAGAAAAAGAAGAAAGACACATTGAAACCAATATACCCCTTAAGAGGTGCAGGGACAACTTTAATAAGTTAAATAGAAACCTCTATTTTTTATTGAAGATTCGAAATTATGACATCAAATTCACCGGACGGGTATAAACAAATCAAAGAGTAGAAAAGAATAACAAGTTCTCAATACATTTTTAAAAGCTATACCTATCGACGCTAATATTCTTCTTCAATAAATTAAATTTTCGAACTTTTTAAATAATTTTGGAAAATGTTTTGGACAAAACTTTGCGTATTTTGATGCTAAGATTGCGAATTTTCAATAAAAATAGGGATTCGCGTTTATATTTGGTGTTATAATTGGCAAATAAAAAAATGATTCACTAACGGGTTTCGCTGTAAAAAGTTTTTTGTTTTCCCAAAAATAAGGTTCACTGGAATTTTATCCTTTTTTCCAATCACCTATTCCATTGATCTCAGCACGTGCGTCTCAGCGTCTTACACAATAACATAACCAAAATCTCGATTATAAAATAAAATTTTAAGTTATATTTGTTGTTGCCACATTCTACATTATTTTGCTAGCATTATTTTAACTAGTGGGAATGAAATATGCGGCTATGAATAGGAAACGTTAGTGACTTGTATGATGTATGTCAGTGGCCACTAACTAGTTGTGTTTTAACATCATTTTAAGGAAGCTACAATGAATAAAGCTGTTAAAGTTTAAATTGATATTGGTATCAATGGATAGTTTTTGAAAATTTGCCTGAAATTCGACCGTTTCCACACTTTTTGGACACCATTTATAAGATTTTATCTACCTTAAACAGGAATCCTAGAATATATATTACGAGGACGCCGAGCGAAAACGACGCCGACGACCACGTGGTGAATATCCCTCTTAATTCGGGCGTGGATATTTCTGCCATGTAAACGGTCGCAGGGGAACTACAGAGGCCGGTCGACAGTCCTGTTAAGATTCTACCGAGTAGTATAAACCAGAAACGGTCGCTTTTTGTGTAGCAAAACGAACCAATTACTATCCACCCCAATAAAGATACTCCATTGACGAACAACATAGCTTTTTTTCTGCCATATTTGTCGGCAAAAGGGCCGGCGAAGAAGCAGCCAAAAGGCGTCGCCAGAGATGCCACACTTGCTTTAATCAAGAAAATAAAATAAAATGGTTACTAAGAATAGCACCTACAAGAAAAAATAAGTTCTGCTTGATTACTTGATAAATACTTACCAAACCAAGACAGTTGGCTGGGATTGAGGGTCGTTTTCAAAAATGGCAAAGCTATGGCGGAAAAGCCCAAGCTCATGCTAGGCGCTATGCTGGAGAAATTGACTAATAAACCTAAAATAAACTGAAAAGAATTGTAATTATTTATGTGCGGTTCAGAAAAATTTAATTAATGCATTTGCTAATTTAGTTTCATTATTTTTTCCAAAATATTTCTATAGATATTTGATGGTCTCCAAAATTAATAGTTGATAGTCAAAACTGCTCGAGTTGTTTTGTATAAGAGATTGCGAATTACCTACTCGTTGATATCAATTTAAATTTCAGAATATTCAATAATAAATCCGAGTAAAAGTGGTAACATGTAATTATTATTAAGCAATTTAGTTATGAAATTGTCTCGCTTATCGAAGGTCTCTAAAATATCGTACATCGGATATGTTTTTTTTAATGTTGCATACGAATTTTGTTTTCTTTAAATCACGATATGACATAATCGGTTAATTTATTCTTTCTTCAAAAATTAGATAAGTTTTATCAGTTTCTGTTTTGATGGAATATTTGATTGAAACATCTGCGGAACTTGTGCGTATTTTTACGCAAGAAAATAATAAGATAGTGGAAACATGTTGGGAAAATGTTCAGAAACAGAATAAACAGAATGAAAATAGAAAGTTCGTCAAAATATGAAATAATTTTAAATGCATTTGTTCAATAGTAATATTGATTAATAATGGATTTTTTATTAACCATGTAGTTCAATATTTATATATTAGATCGGTATTTCAATATTTGTTGTAATTGAGATAATAAGAAAAAATGAAGTTAAGGAAAAATATTTCAACAATGTTGAATTTTTTAGTCATTCTTTGGGTCAACATAATAAATTTCTTTTGATAATTATCGTTACATTTTAGTTTTGTGTTTGATTTTTTTTGTATGAATTTTACAGATTATTAGTTAGAACCTTAGAACGGTTTTTGTTTTAATTTAATTGAAAATATTTGAAAAAATTAAAGGAACAAAATTGTTACATATTAATAATTTATTTAGAAAGAAAATAAGTATCGATAGCGTTGCTTAGTTACTTTAAAGGTTAATAATAAATTAATTTTTTATAACAATATAAAAATATTTATTTGATAAATAAATAGGTATACTATTAAATTTCTAGAAAAAAATCCTTATGATAACTATTTAAGATAACTATTGATAAACATTAATCTAATTATAGGATATTTTATTGGAAAACGTTTCCTATAAAATTTGTTTATTTCACTAAAAAAATTCAAATTAAATTTTATTAAAAAGCGGAAAATTTGACTGAATATATTTTTTCCTTAATTTGTGGAACTGGAAAATAAGGAAAATAACTATTTTATTAACTAGTTACTATTCAAATCTACTTCACCTAACCGAATTTGTTATAAAAAATTATATTTTACATATGCACAAGAATATCTCACTTGTTTGGTAACAGATCTTTTTTTGGTGGAAATTCGATTTTCAATCTCCATGATTCACTCTACTCTACACGCGCGAAACAATATAACGACTCCTACTCAAACGAACGATCAACGACTAATAAAGTTATTCCGTAATCGTTCAAACAAGTAATACGAAATGCTTTTATCGATATCGCCTAGTAATTAATGATGAAAAAAATGATATTAATTAAAGATAAGCCGGTGGATTTTCGCCAAGTTTAATATGGACTAAACGTAATTACTGTGAGACATAACAAATATGAGTAAAATTATACAAATAATTTTGTTTAACAATTATAAAATTTATTATCTTGCCTTTTGTTAGAGAAACAATTAAAAAAATACTGCCAACTGTACCACAAAACAGTTGCCAAAAACAAAAATTTATCAATAAACAAACGTCATTAAGTAGTGACATTTTCTTATGAAGATATTGTTAAAATTAAAAACCTAAATTTATCCCAAAAAGTTCAAAACTGGTATAGTGGCAATGAAACCATCAAAATTGACCAGAATAATTTCATTCGAAATTACGGAAACCGGAAGATTAGCGCTTTTTGTATTATACAGAAAATCCAGAACTAGATCCAGAATGAGACACAGAAGAGGCCATCGATTTGTTGAGGATAAAGTTTTCATGATTCTTCTGGCTGATAAATAAGTGTAGTGTAAGATGTATTATAATTAGTTATAAGAAATCGACTATAGTTTTACAATAAATGTTTCAAAGTGTTAACTTTAGTAATATACGTAACTATAAGTAAATGTAACTTGGTATGTTCCTACCTATAAAGCTCAAATGAGACAAGTTCATTTACCTGTTGAAAAATTAAAAAAAATTGAAGTTGAACATTATTGTTACATTTTATGGCATTGTTTGCCATTATTTGGGGCCATTAAACTTTTTAAATTTTTATAGGTTTAATAATTATACTGTATAGGCAATACTTTATACGAACGTTTAATTAATTAGAGCGGTCATCACGCACTGATGGATGAATTCTTGGTTCTATTTAGCATCGAGTTAAGAGGCTACTTTAGGGTTCCTCCAAGATCAGGCACTAAAATTTTGGATATCAAGAATAAACTCTTCAAATATAGTTGAATCGATGTTAATCGTAAATGAACACATTTTAAATACTTTAATTATTCCATATTATCCATAATTTTAACTCTCCCCTTTTTACTAAGCATTAAAACACAAATATGTCGTAACCATTTACCTGCGGCAAGTATTCAGTGTTTAAATAATACATAAAGTAACCGTTCATTCAAGCATTCGCCGGTTACGATTTTTATTACACCTCCAGGTGTCTTAATGATTGTTTTCAATTTCCTCTTGTACAATTACCGTTAAAAAATAATTAGCAAGAAATTTTCTCACGAACTACATATCGAAAGTTGTCATCGGGGCGTGGGCCCAACCAAACTACCAACAACCAGCGTTCGTCATGCTTTAACAATTTCGTTTAAGCAGTGTCTAACTAACCATTACATATACATACACCTGCGATATTATGCGGCCGCATGGTAAGTGGGTAAATTATTGAATGTTATTGCTTGTACTGTTGCAAAAGTTTGGAAAAAATCAATAACACCGGCAGATATATCGAGAGAAATGAAAGGAATATTAATGAAACTGATGGAAACGTAGATAAAAGTAATAAAATTGGAGGCAATATGGAGATATAAAAGGAGAATTGCCCAATCTGTTTCAAAAAGATCAATCAAGGAAAATTTATTTGTTTTGAATTCTAATGGAGATACAAAAAAAAATTAATGTAACCCTGTACAAATAATCGACAGAAATATAAAGAAAAATAGCGATAATATCTAGTAAACCACCAACTTAAATTGTGCAAGTAAAATATTAATACTTTGTCACCGTATAATTTGGAGCATATCTTGAGTAAATTGTACTTTTTTGGCTTATGAAACTTTTCAAAAATTTAACTCTTTGAAACCTGGTATAAGATTTTTATTTCGTGTCTTTTTCTGGATTCTGTGACTCTGTTGATCCCATTAGAAGTGCTATAGAAGTTTTGAAATACTAGAGAACGTGGGTGAAAATTTTCATTTTATGATAATTTTCAATTATTCATTGCTTCGAAAAGTTGAACCAAAAATGGCGAAGGAGACAGGATAAATCCACCACTTTCCTAAGTTATTATTTATTAGATCTATGTAAGAAGAGTCGTGCATAAACCTTTATCCTGAAAATCTAGTGATGAAAATGTTGAAAAATGCATACACACGCTTACCTATAATGCGTATCTACATATAATCGGTTGATCAGCGACTTCCTTTCTATTAACCTTTTAAGTTCCACGACCTTGGGGTCCTTGATCGTGTTTACTCTTTTTTAGCGAAGAACGATTTAATTGCGCGAATTGGAGTGGGAGTTTCGGATGGATCGTAAATTTCACTATTAATGTGGATAACACCCCTACGCGATTGTGTACGCGATGCTAATTGAAAAATGGTATTATAGTCTATGTATAAACTCAAGGACGATGTTATCGTAAACTATATCAGGATTGGTCATTGTCTATTTTCGTTAGGCGCTTTCCCGAAATAAAAATCTAAATAAATTTTAATTCGCCGGGACAATTTTATTGATTCGAATTTATTATGTATCTACTAGATAAAACGTTTTTTTTATAATTCCTCTAGCTTTAGCTAGTTTCATTACAAAGAGATTGTTTACCATCAAGTGCCTATAAAAAGAATTTCCTCCCTGTGTACACAAACGTGGCGAACGAGAGAACGAACAGAAAAACAAAATAATTAGGTACGTTCCATGATGTACCGCAAGAGCGATTTCTATTCTGATCGACTTCGGGGAACGGATTAAATAAAAAAAACATTAACGAAATCGTAAACAACGTTCAATAAATTCATCAAAACAACCATCTCGCACATCCGTCTTATGGAACAACCATCTGTTCGGAAACACGCCTGCTCTCCTAATAAATAAGAGATTTTAAAAATAAAGGAGAAATAAAATCTGTTTATGACCGACTGTCACTATAAATAGTTCGTTTGGTTCACTTTAAAAAGTGCAGGTTATACAATAATGTACGCCGATTGCTAAAAATAACCACAATGTATTTTGTTTTGCACAGCTCGGGTACTTTACCTAATACAATGGTTCGAAAAGAGTTCGATGCAATCGTGACTAAATATCCGTATTAATTTTAACACTAAATTTCGATGACATCAGTACTATTTGCAAATTGTAAAAACACAATTATTCGCGGCTATTTTATTTTTAGTAAGTACTAAGTGGTATTAATTGGGATTTTGCGTTATGTGTTTTTGCACGTTAGATATCTAATATAATGCTAATAATTTCACTGAAATTCATTAGCCAATCCATCATATACAATTCAAATTTCCATTATTCCATTAGCTCATAAAAAATTTTTACAGTATTTTTTCACCGCGATATCTCCCTAATTGAGTTTTTATGTAGTTACAGATCGATAGGAATAGCAAAACCCGCGATTTGTGCAAACATGAGAGCTCAATAATCAAGCAATAACTATAAAAATAGATTCGGTTAAAGAGTTTGTATTAGATGACTAAATAATACAAATATAAATCAACTGAGCAAAGAAAGAAAGATTAATAAAATAACAGCTGTCAGAGTGAAAAGTTGCAATGACACAAATGTCACTCATTCTTTTTCCTTTATAAGTGTCTAATGGAAGTTGTCTTTATCGCACCTATAGCCTATAGAACCCACAACCTTATATGTTGCGATCTGGAATGAAGCACAGTGTATACTTTTGTTATTACAAAAAATATGCAGTTATTCCTGTTGATCTATAAAATATATGCTCTATAAAATATTATCTCTTTGTTTCTCAAGAAGGATAAAGTTTGTCAAACAGGACATTAAAAGCTCGCTAAAGCGCATCTGTGTAAGAAAATCTCGAATAAATTAGCAAAACATCTTTAATTGCTTTCCTTATTTTTCAGGAAATAATAATTTTATCTACTGTTTGTAAACGACGTTTCAAGGAATAGACTTTAAATATTATAGAGCATCATCCCACGTCATGGGTATTAAAAACAGTGAAAACCTACTTTGTATAAGATTCGTTTCAATTTTCCGTGAATCTATACAAAAAAATACGCAAAAATCGTCATCGCTTTATTTATTGTATGTTTGCGAAACTTACGGTGCAGTATATTGGCGGGGGAATCATTTTTCATCAGCTCGCGCAAAACACATATGACAACATGATTGCCTGCTTGATGTGCTATTGCACGCATAAAATACGCATAAAATTTCAAAAACTGCCTTAATTTATCACTCTGTCACATAAATAATGTGATACCTACATTAATCAAGTGACGAATTCGATTTGACAGTTTTCCTGAAAGAAATGTTCACTTGCGTTTTTCAATAATATCGATTAATATTTTTCTGTAACACTATACATAAGTGCCTGTTAGAATCTAAATATAAAAATATTAAAAATATTGTTCGTTTGTTCGTTAGGCTGTTTTGCTTTATAAGGACTCAAAAATTACTGAGAATTTGCACGAAATCCTCTAACAAAAGATTTTCCAAAAAAAGCATTTCTACTTATACAAAGAGTATATAATGAAGATGCGAGGAAAATATAACTTTATTGTAATAAGGCGTATTTATATCCGAACGTATAATAGAATGTTTAGTTTACTTTGTTTGAGAAAGATCTTGAAATAAGGTAACCATGTCATAGAAGGAAAGAGAACAATATGTTGCAGTCGGTGGATAAGTTGTTTTTAACTCGATGGGCTGTAAAAATAGATTGTATTTGACATTTCGCTCAAAGTGTCGCAAACAAGATATTTTGATACCCCGTTCTGTTTATACATCGTCTGACTATTTCTACAAGGTGAAGCGATAAAAAAAGTGATGGAAATGTAAACTTTTGCACCCATCCATTCGATGGTTTTCAGCAAATTAAATTGATGTTTCATCTGAAAAAAATGTGATTTTTACGAAATAAAATGTCTGTTCCTCACTATTAATACTTTATATCCTAGTCCATAATGCTATAATTTCTTTT